TGCATAAACGTGTTTTATCCGATTGCAAATCTTTTTTGCACATAAGTCACATAAAGATTGAATTAATGTTTGATGAAATTTTGAATGAGATCGGACGTCATAACACGCGACTATGAGGAAAATCAGTTGTTTTCGTTTAGAAAATAATTTTAGCCTTGCGGAGCGTTCAACGCTAAAATGCTTCGTACCACATAATTATATACTAGATGTCTCCATTTGTAGGGATTTTTGAAAAAATCTATCAAGCTAATTATGAGATATTTGAGTGTATTTAAATATAGTGCATAATCTACTCCAAAACTAAACAATGGATTTCATACGGCTGAAATTAATATTTCAGAGCTATATATTCACAAAAGTCATTGCTCATTTAGTTTTACTCTGTATCTAGTTTTAAAAGGAAAATTTTGAAGGTAATCGACTTATGCGATTTTGTGAAAACGTATAGTGCATAAGACGGGGTAAACATTTGATGCGCACTTTTCATCGCAGTGTTTTAGTCAATCTTTACTAGATCTTCCATTATTCTAAAATTCGCTGATCATCTCTCTCAAAACTACGTCAGGAAACAAATTAGAACTTAAACTAATATTACACAAAATTGCAAGACTATTGAACTCATTTAAAGCGATCTAAAGCGAACGAGAAATACAGAAAACATTGATCGTTTCCCAACGATTTGATGCTCTTGTAATTCTATTGTTTGCTAATGATCATAACATCAAATTCTTTCGCAGTATGCACGGTCTCATCTCGCTTGCTTGCATAGTCACGTGTTATGACGTCCGATCTCATTCAAAACTGCATCAAACATTAATTCAATCTTTATGTGACTTATGTGCAAAAAAGATTTGCAATCGGATAAAACACGTTTATGCACCAGCGTTCCAAACGTGGAAGGTAGCGGTCAAGCGTGAGGGGGTCCAGCCACCTTAAAACAGGTAATGAATATCTCATTTTGTTATATCAATAAGAAATTTTCCGATATAACGAACGCTCTCATTAGTTGAAAGAAGACCACGTGAGTAACTTATTTACCGGTCAGGGAATAAGTTGCACGTAACAAGAATGGTAAAAATAAACGAGTGCACGTGATCAGAACGTGAAAAAAGCTTGTGGCGGGAGCATTATTTTGCTGGAATTTTTTTAACAAATGAAGCTCGAASAAAAAACCCTGAGATTTTCCAATGTTTCTACAGAGAAATACAGATTTTCATTGAGAAAAAGGATTCGGAAAATACGAAAAAAGCGGCTAAAAATG